TGAAAATATTGTCGGGCATAAACCGGTCCGTGGCGCAAAAAAGGTTGGAGACCGCTGCTTTAGAGCGATGCCTGTAACACTCTACCTGTTGCCTTCATATTAAATATTTTTTGAATAATTTTTTAAAATATTTCTTCACCCATGGGCCGCAAGTAGGGGTGACATGGGCCACTTTAGAGGCTCTTAATGCGTGTTTTGTTTGGGTTTCCACCGGCTTGGAATTACCAAAAATAGAGCGGGCATAGCTGAACATATGAAACAGGAAAGTACCGCCGTGTAATCCATTTATTTCAACAAAGTAACTATTCTGAATACCACCTTTTTAAACGGTAACTGTAACAGAATACAGTTACTCATATTTTGTATTTTAAATATGTAACGCTGGTACATGTATTCCATTACTCCCCAACACGGCACACAGTACATCCAGGGAGTTACATTTGTGCTTTAATATCTGCTGTAAAACATCTCCAGGGAGAGAAATCCTTTGATTTCACTTCAGCTGTAATTACGTCTACAACAGGTTTTCAGTTTTTTCCTGTAAGCTAAACCAAAATACTTTCCCTTCAATATTATCGAAGACGTTATTGGATCAAATCTGTTCCCAGTGATTGTTTTTACTCTCCAAGCTGTGTGGAAGGTCACCTCGTCCTTCAGAGCCCATCAAAGCCTCCCCTTCAAAGCAGCAACAGCATCTCACCTCCACACAGCTGGATGAACAGAGGCTCAGGTGTGCATGCGTCTGCCTGTCACGTGTTTGTGACACTATCGAGAGGGACACACGAAGCCCGCAATTAGGTCGTGGCACAGTCTCTCGCTCCAGATTCATGGGTTCGAAAGGATCTCGTCTGAAACAGAATCAAAACGAAGCTGCTTCCTAATCGGAGGCGAGCGGCAGCTGCAGCCTGAGAAGACGAACATCATAACATCATGTTTTTGTTCCTGTTGCATTCAGATGAAGCACATCAATCAGCAGCTCCTTGTTTGTGTGAGGCCAAAAAAGAGATCCAAGCATCTCTGAGCTTTCAGTGCCACGCATTTAATTCCTCTTAAGAAAGGGCTGCAAAACTTTGTAGTTTCATCGTGGGCTGAAAGTGCACACGCAGAGGAAGAATGGTTTGTGAAGAGGACAGACGGTGATTATTTTTAGATGCTTGGAAAACTGGTTTCTCATCTCATGTTTTTGTATAAGTGCGGGCCATAAATCATGTGAGCTGCTTTTTAAAGGTTTAGTGCACTGCAGCTCTAGAGTACTCATAATTAGCTTATCCGGCAAAGCTATGAGCTCCTCTGTAATGTAATCTTCCTTAGTGAACTGATGTAATGGCGATGGAGCCGTTATTGAGACATCGCGGAATTCAAGCCATTCGCAGACTAAAGGACTCTGCCATGTTACAACTTTGGACGCAGAGCTACGGTTCGGGTCAGGCTTGAAAGGGAATCTCACACAGTGCTGTCAAGTGATTGTCGTGGCTTTTTAAAAACCGCAGCTTGTTATCAGATCAATTGTTTTTTCCCACAATCTGAAATGAACGATGTGACAAACATTCGACTTTTTACCAACACAGAGGATCGTGGTTGTGACAAACAGAAACAATTCTCCTCATTCCCAGATCTGCGCTCCACAGGCAGCTTTGCATGATTCACAGTTCAAAATAAGTTCGTTATTCAGTTTATTATGTTCGTAAAACAAGCTCCTTTGGCTCATCCCATTTAAGCCAACTGTCACCTGACTGGCTGTCCCACAGCAGGTGGGCGGGGCATCTGTGTCTGATGTCAGGATATCAGGTCTCTATGATATCACACAGACCCAGGAGTAAAAAAAGTCAAGTCACAGCACGTTTATGTATGTTTCATACACTGACCTCGTTATTTGAAACTTAAATATGAGCACCATCGTAACAATATAAATATGACAGCACAAAAGAAACAAAGAAGTCTCTCACAATTTTTATCCTATCAAAAAAAAGAAATCAACAAAAAAAAAAAAATTCAGAGGACCAAGTACGGCACCTTGAGGGACACCTCTTCTTTGAGTTATGTTGTTTTTCTTGTAACAGTATTGGGTCAGTACCATTCAGTTTGGAACAATTACAGCACCAACAGTGGCCTTTTTCTAAGATGATTATGTGAAACCCAACCACTGTCTGCACTAACACTGAAAATTGTAAATAAATATAAAGATAAATAAAGATGTAAATCTTAAAATCTGTAAATAAAAAGTAAAATACGTGTGAAATATCAAGCAGGCTTCTTTTCAAAACAAAGAAATATTACATAAATACTGAAGCCATTTTGTAATCATTATTTCGTCATCAGATACAGGGTACCTTTTTTCTGTGAGCTAAAGTCAGTTTTTGGGTGGATTTAAAAACATCAAATAAAATGTGTTTTTGTTTGGGGGGGTAAAAATTCTCAAAAAGCTCATAATCTCATACTCTCTTCTGTTCCTCTTTGTCAGTTTCCATCCAGTGTGGTGCTTCGCCTTCTATCTTCCCTGTCTCCAGCTCTAGATGTAGAAGCTGACTCTTAACCTTTAACTAACCCACCGGCCCACAACCAACCCGTCCATCCCGCTGACAGACGTTGTGTAACCTTAGTACTTTGCCCAGATTGCTTTCCTGCAGCTCTGACATGTGTTCACCTTTGGGCGGATGAAGCCGTGTTAACGCGTCCACGTGCAGCAGTGTTCTGAGTGACTGAGTGTGAGTTAAAGAGCAGCTGGCTGATGGAGATAAGAGCTCAGTAAATCTCACTCTCAATGCTTTGTAGAGGTTTCTGAAGAAATTCATCAAAGAACACTCTTGGTTAGGCATGCTTTGTTTTTATGGTCAATACTGATTTCAATTGCATACTGTTGTGTTTATATATATGAATCGATGGCTTTACATTTAGAAACATTTTCAGACGCCTGCAGGTTTCATGAGACTGGCAGTAATTAAAATGTGATGGATAGTGAGGTTCAGGCTGTTTTCGCACATCAGTGGAAGGTGTTTCTCGTGCTTTAAATAAATAAATGTCGGTAACCGGATTCCTGTGAAGGTAAGAAAGTGAGTCGTGATATCTGAAAGGATCCAGAAGGAGCAGAGGGAGCTGGTTCGAGTCAAAGGATGATGGTTTTCACCTGAGTGCTCCACTTCAAAAACCCCTCAAATCACACACCTGCACGCAGCGTGATGCTGGCAGGCTGAGCTGTCTTAGAGTGCGTGTACAAAAGCATGAATGATGGACTCCATCAGCAAAACAGGGGATGGTGATAGTCCATTTCTCTCTCTGTGGGCAGAATCTACACATACGTGTATCATAGGGCTAAACACGTTTTTGTTTTGGAGGGCAAAAACGGTACAAAGGTTCATATTTAAAATTGGGTAGAATGTAAATTTTAGTCTTAGGTTTGAATGATTAACTGTTTAACTGCAAAACATAGAAACATGCTGGTTTGTCCATCGCTGGCTCGATGCCTCATCGAGTGACAGCAAGGTTCTGAGTTTGAACCTTCCTGAGGTCTTTGTTCTTTGTGCACCTCGTACCTGACATGTTAGGTTACCTGGTGACTCTAAATTGGCAGAAGGTGCAGATGCTAGCAAACATGGCAGACGCCATGAGGTTATCCCCCTCGTCATGTTTCAACAGCAAAAACTGCACAAAAGATGGACAGATGTTGTTGTTTCAACAGTAACCAGTCAGACTGTTGGTTACTGAGCAAACACACGTCTTTGTTCGATGTGATACAAGATTGATTGACAACTTATCTGGTTAGAAGATGATTTGGACACAACATTCACTCCACCCACACAGACTAACGGTACCGAGCCTGCCGTGTTTGTGCGAGCAACATTTATCTTTGTGTGAATTCTGTCTCATTATGTGCTGCATGCAAAAGGCAAGACATCAGTTCTAGTTTGATGTGGCTCATCTTTTCCTGAGCTTTTGATGTTTGGTTTGCTTTTTGTTCCGAGTCCTTAATAGAACCACCCAAAACAATTCCTCTACCTAAAAATTCCCAGAAGGACAGAAAAGCTATGTCTTGAACACAACTTTGATCTTTGTCCCGGGACCCTTGCACCTTAAAACCAAACAAAAGGATCAAGTCCAGTTTTAAACCTGGTTTCCATGCAAATAAAAAAACAAGCTTCAACTTCAGAGAGCAGGCAGCTCTGCAGGAGCTCATCACTGTTACTGATCTTTGCCAGTTAATCGATCATTTAATTGTTTACGTTATCCTCGCTGACTCCAGCCTGTTTGTAGCTTCGGTCTGTTTATCGACATAAAACTGGACGACATCCGTTTCACAACGATTAACCAAACATAATGGGTATGTTAATAAATAATGAAAAGCAGTCATTAATGGACGCTCCACTCTGTGAACACAGGCACACATTGTTCCTGACTTTTAAGATACACACCAGATGCTGCGTCGGTATGTGTGAGTGCGTTTGCGCTCGGCATTTTAAAGCCGCCACATGGCCTCATCTCATTTCAAATTTTGAACAGCTGGGCGTTTGGCTCCACGGTGGAACAACAAACTGTCGGACGCACACAGAGAACAGAAAACACCTCAACAGAAACCATCGAGGCGAGGTCACCACTCACCTTCAAGTGCCAGGAGGACCAGAGGCAGCAGCAGCAGCAGCTCCATCACCGCGGACATCCTGACGGAGGACAGAGGGGTGGTGGCGTCTCTCAACAGTGCACACACAGACACACACACATACACAGACAGGACAGATCTGGAAACCCTCAGAGCGTAAACACACCAAAGACGTCCCAACTGTGACTAAAAGTCGCCTCCTGTTTATCTGAGGGGTGGGCGGTGTGGGTGGGTCCTCCTCTTGCTCTGCTCCTTGCTCAACAACAGGAAAAAGCTCACATCAGCAGCAGTTTGTTCGTGCGCCTCTCAGTGTTTGAGCATCTAGAGTTACCAGAGGGAAGAATCAGACCAGGTCTCAGGTTTCGGCCTCTTTGTTCAACTATTTATATTCCGTGGCACACCCTCAGGTCTCCTTATTGACACTGCACGCACCACACAATGTAAGAGCCAATGGAAGCCCGGTGTTTGAAGCTCAGCTGGTGGGGGATGATGGAAACAGTGCTGGAAATGGAAGAAGTTTGTGAGAGCTGGTGATGACTGCGCAGCTCGAGAGCCAGTCAAAATGTTGCATTCATGAATCCACAAGAAACACCGAGCCGACTTTGTCCTCGTGGGCAACCTGAGTTTAAAAACGGAGGAGCGCAGCTCGGCTGGGCCAAATGAAAGCAGTGGGAAGCGTGCGCCTCTCTTTGGCTTTGGAAGACTCAGTATTGCGTCTCTCAGAGTTATTGCTGTCTGCAGAACCTTTCGGGGAAGACTCTTGTGTTTTCCCTCTTATGAAATCACCCGCTGTGCGCGCACATATGCGTGGTTTGGCTGCTGTCTGCGCATGAGCTGCACAGGTGGCACGCACCGGGCGGTGATCCCGCGCGTCTCTGGGAAAAGTGCGCGATTCCCGCTGTGCGTTCCAGCAGTACAGCCGTCTTTAAACTCACCTCCGGTCTCACAGCGCGAATCTGTCGAACCCAAACCGTCAGCGCCCTCCTGGCCGTCTGTTCTCCCTGTGAAACAAACGTAGTCCCGTTTACCTGTAAAAAGAATCCTCCTCTGGAGGAGAAATCCTGCGCTCCGTCCTGAGTTCCTCGAAGCGCCTCCTTCTACTGACAGGTTAGAGATGGTCTCTCTCCCACATCGGAGAGATTTCACGATCACACAAGGGGAGAAAATCTTCTTTTCGACCTTTAAGAACGAGCAGAGCTTCACATTCCTGAGTGAGGACACACACACAGAGCTCCAGAAATTACGTGTCAGCGCAAGGATGCCGCGCTAAGCAGTCTTTGGGATGGGTGAAGGCTGGGGGGGAGGTGCATGGAGGAGGAGGAGGAGGAGGAGGAGGGTATTATGCATTGCAGCAGCAGAGGGATGGAGAACGAAGAGGAGGAGGGAGAGGTATAGAGCCGTTGTTATGGCAACAGTGGTTTTATGCGATGGTTTCTTCCCTTCCAGAAACCCCCACGTGCTGGCAGGAGAGTCAGGTCTGAGTAACGGAGCGGTGTCACGTGGCGCCTGGATTTAGACTGAGCCATTAACGGGGTGGGAGGTACAAAATAAAAGATTTATGCCTAAAATACTGACTTCACGACATGTGATTAGACGTACTTTTCCCCCAGAACTAAAGTGTAAAACGTTCATTTTAATGGAGAAAAGTGAATAAGAGACATATTAGAAATAAATAGTGTGTACAAAAGAGTGGTTTGTACTGAGGAAAATGGGTACTATATATGACTCCATCATATAAAGTGTGGGAGTAAAAATTATACCTCCTGTGTGCATAATGCTCAGCCTGACTGCTGCTGGGATGAAGGAGCTGAGCAGGAGCGGCTCAGGACCTCCACGGTCCCATCCAGGGGGTGAGAGGTGCTGTCCGTAATGGACATTAGCTTGGCTAACATCCTCCTCTGTCCAGGACAGAGCTGACCCTCATTAACTATAAGCCACTTCCTGCCCCTCCGTGGCAGACAGCCACATAAAAGCCTACAGAAACCACCACAGCGCTCCTCAGTAATGTCCTGCACACCTCAAAACACCTCAGCCTGCCAGCAGATGGAGCCGACTTTTTGATGGAGCTCAATGTTTTCAGTGTACGATGAAAATGAAACAGAAAACGCAAACATTTCAGCCAGGATTAACCTCAGACAGTCTTGTCCCTGCCAGGGGGGCTTCTGCAATAAACAACACTGGATCTCTTTTCTCTTATCCTGTACCTGCAGTGACAGCTGCATCGTTAACGTGAGGCTTACGTGGAATCAGTCTAAATGCAGCTGATGTCATTATTCAGAGTCAGAGTCTGGATTCAACCGTCTCCTTCAGTTCCGGTCTTGGCTGGAAAAATAGTTCCAAAATAAAGTGTCAGAGATTGTACCTCATTGTCTGCTCACACCTTTCTTATCGTCACCTGGAAGGAGAACTTTGTGGTTTTTATAATCCCTTCATCAAATAAAACAACATAAAGGACGACTAAACTGTGACTGTAATGGGCAAGCGAGTGCATCAAGTAATAATTCACAATTTACAAATGTGTTTATACTCTTAAGAAAACAAACAAACAAACATCTGTCAACTAAATTGGTTAAAATTCAAATGTAATCAAGTACAAAAGAAGAAGGAATCATTTCCTTCTTTACTGAAATAATCGGAATAATATTTCTTATTTTGTAAGACATGTGTCGACTGAAGGTTTCTACTGGGAGAGTGCAAATGATTCAAATACACTTATCGGTCACTTCATTAGGTACACCTGTTTAGCTCCTCTGCAGTGTAAACAAGCAGCCGATTACATGTCATTGACTCGCTGCATGTAGGCATGTAGACATGGCCAAGGCGACAGAAAGGTGACTGCTGATCTGCTGGGATTGCCCAAAACAAGAGAGTGAGTGGCAGTTCTCTGGGAGAAGAGGTGTTGTTGTGGTCAGAGGAGAATGGTCAGACTGCTGCAGGAAGGCCACAATAAGTCACATATCCGCTCATTACAACCAAACTGTGCAAAAGTCTCTGAACCTTGAAGCAGATGGGCTTGTGACAGTTTTAGCAGGGCCTGAACGGGTACCCTGTACGTCCTGCCCTGAGGGTCACCTTTTCTGGGACAGCTGGCTGTACTCAGCAAATACCCAGAGAGTACATCAGGCCAGCGAAAGAAGAGCTGTAGTGCCAGCTGTGCTGTGCGTGGCGGCTTCTTTCTGCTGGTCTGTGGAGAGGAGAGCGTGTGTTTTGGTGATTTAACATTTTTAGCCTCCTTTTCTGTTTCATGACCAACTCGTTGATTTTCTTATTTTTCCTCTCTTTTATAGGAGACAGCGGTTTGTCCATCACTTTCAGTTTATTAGTAATAAAAATCTTCATAACAACCTTTAATTAAACTACTTTGCCTTCATGTCTCCTTTTTTCAACCCGGACACTACTTGTTACTTTCCCCACGCCCCCTTGACCTTTTAGGGGAACATAAAAGGGTCACAGCAGCAGACGACCAGACAGAGTGTCAGCTAAGAACATGCCTGCAGGGAAACGCAAGACTGTAAGATTCATAAATTCAAAGAAAAAAATAAAATCAAACAGAAAGAGGCTGAGTCGTGTGACTGAATGGGCACAGAAAGGAAATATTTAGTCATCATAAGTCTCCAAATGTTGAAGCGAACAGCAGGCGAGGTCCTTGTTTGTCATTCATAGCTCAGAAGTGACAACCACATGGAAAGTTTCCAGCTCACTCACATTTGTACGGCTAACTTCTCAATCTGTCATTTTAGGTGGCAGCAGTGAGGTTTCACAGCTGCTTTTATTAACCACAAGTCCCCATTTTAGTCATTAATGGTGCATAAAAACATGCAGACACATACACACACACACACACACACACACACACACACTGACACACACACACACACAATGATGGCCGCTGAGAAAAATCAATTCAAGCCGCTGGTGGGACCTTTTAGCCGGCTGTCACAGCTTCACTGAGGTGTTTAACAGCTCAGACGTGGTTTTAATATTAATGTTAGAGATTCAGTTACAATAAAATGTATTCATAACAGTATTTTTAACGGTTTCTGGGCTGAAGCATCTTTTCAACACGCTGCAGGGTTTCTCTTCGTTTTTGAAAGTCCCCAAAATACTATTAAGCTGTCATTTTACCTCTCTGTGCATCTTTATCAACACTGTGTTATGTTCTTTTAATGCTTCAGTAATAAATCCCTGTTGGGGCAGCTGAGAGTTCAGTGGAGATGAAACTCGAGATGCTGGTTTTTGGTAACCCAGACTACGCAGCAACGTATGAATGACTAACATCATCTGAAACATTAAAATTACAAGAAATGTTTCAGTTCATAAAGAAGAAACTCTGAGTGTAATCGTAACGATGGTTTTATACCTCTGAGGAGCCAGGAAGTGACAGCTAACAAAACAAACACATTTCTGATGAAAGAGGAACCAGAACAAAGTTTTACAGCAAATCCTTTCAAAATAAAATGCACAAAAGACAAACAAAGACCTGTAAAAATCACGGTTTATTCACATATTATAGTTAGATTAATAATTCATTCCATTAGTAATGCATGTAAACATTATTACATTAATAAAGATCCCATGTATGTAGGAGTTAGAGCCATAGCTGATAGGTAGATGTTGTCCCTGGTTAAGCTTTTAAGGTACAACACGCTAATACAAACCAGGAGCGTCTAAGAAACAGAAACGTGCGCTTTAAGGTGCTTATTGTAAAAACTCTGCGTTTAAAATGAACTGAAGCTGTTAGTAGAATTTAATGAAGTAGCCGCTGTGTCTTTATGTCAGCATAGTGTCTCAAACAGATATTATCTCGAGGTAAAAGCATGGCTGGGCTGTCCTGGCTGACTTTGACATCTAATACTTTTATTTCTGGTGTTTTATTGTGAAGCACTTTGAGATTTTTACCTGTGAAACGTTTGACATGAGTCAGTTTTACTTACGGATGTACTGTAATATCAGTTTTTGTGAAAGAATAGTGTGGTGAGTTAGTTGAACCTTTACTTAAAGGCAGCTCTTTAACAGTAAACTGTCATTTACAATGGCGGCTTAGCAAAGGGAAAAACTTGGGGGAGAGGGTGGAGCCCCCTGGTGGTGAACATTTCAGTTAAATTTTGCAGCGTTTTTGTTTGTTTTTGTAGTTCGTTCCCTCGATAGTTACCACTTTGATGTCTTTTGTTACGTTGATGTGTTTCTAAAAGTTGAGTGATGAGGAAACTGATAAATATTTGCAGCCTTTTATCACTGATAAACCTTTACTAAATATTTCTGATGATTTCCGGACAGACTGGATCTCCACAGCTGCATCTCCACCTCTCCATTCCAGCCAGATGCTGATAAAGTCATCTGCACATCAGCATGGCGCTCAACAGGCCTATGAGGACGGTGACAGGCACCAGGAGGAGGGCCACGTACAAGAACCACGGCTCTGGGTACACGCCTGAAATCAAAACGCACAAAACCCTTTGTGTGAAGTTTGATCCCAGTATCAATAACTCACGAGTGCAGTGTTGGAGTCCTTTTTCCAGTAAGAGCAAATTTCTAGAAGCTTAAATGACAAACTCACCATGACGCGCTGATGAACATGTAGTGGACTCCTTTTTATCACCTTCTCCAACTTCTGAAACCAAAGAGAAAAAAACCTTTCACGATTAAACAGGTTTCCTCTTCAAAGATACACATTGTACATGAAATCGGTTTAAACCCCTCAGAGTGAACGTCAACATAGGGAGAAAGAAAGAAAGACCTTTCATGGACTTTATGTCCAAAAAAATCTGTACTGTGTTGAATGCTGCTATTGTACATACTATTGTTTGAGTACTTACGATTGTTTTTTTTGTACTTTTTATATTTTACATTTATATTTATTATTGAAACTTGCACCAAGGGAGTGGCACTCCAATTTCGTTGTACTCTGTACAATGACAATAAAGGCTATTCTATTCTATTCTATTCTATTCTATTCTAAGAGACAGCGCCTGAAGTTGTTAGAGAGCCAGGCTGTACTTTTGTGTAATATCGACTTTGTACCACAAGATGGCGAAGTGAGTCAGTCAGGCTAGTCGTTTAGGTAAGCATGCTAAAACATACGTGTAGTTACTTCTTTCCTAGTCTTTAGACACTTTACTTACATAACCACTGAAGAGGTTGAGCAAAGGGGTTCAAAAACTTACCATAAGGTAAAAGTAATAGTTTCTGAAAAACATTTAGTAAATCTACAAAGATTTAATGGCCAGTTTATGAAAAGAAAACTTGTGACTATATGAGAAAAAATGTCAAATTTATAAGAAAAGCTACACCAAAATAAAATAAAAGCAGACGACCTGCTGTG